TTTATTTCCACACTTTTATTTTATTTTTTATTATTTTTTGGCATAAATAATAGTTTATTAGGATAATATACTTTATTTTCTTAAATAAATTGTAAATATATTTAAAAATACTATATATTTTTATTATGTTATTTATATACATAAAATATTTATTTTCATACATATTTTATTTTTTAATATTTGTACATAATATTATTTATTATTTTCTTGTACAAAAAATGGACAAAATAATAATATAGAACATATATTTTATTTTAATTGAAAATTAGGGTTTCACCCTTTCAAAAATAATAATATTTTTTCTCTTATTTTTAGGGCTTAAATAAATCATTTTCCTCATACAAAAAACAAATACAAAACCTTTTTTGCATAAATATATTTGCATTGCATTTTAATATTTGTAATTTATTTAATGCACAATATTCAATTGGGTTGTAATAGTATTTTTAGGGTTTATTTTATGCAATATCCTCATTCAAAAACTTGTATCCCCCCTCCCATAATAATTGTTGTAATAGCTTAGTTTACATTTACGCAATTTATCGCATTTATACCATTTTTAGTAAACTAGGGTTCGCATGACAAGGCCAAAAACAAAACAAATAGAAAAGACCTAATGCAAGACAAAAGCATGTAAAATGATACACATTGCACACAAGCACCCTTAGGGTTTCACCCCACTTGGTTACCTAAATTTAAATAGCCATGTTACGCATACAAAGTATCTTGGCAAAACAAAACAAAATAAAAGATCATAGTCCCTCGATGACGTTATACAAAGGTTGCCTAAAAATGATCTTGGTCCCTCCAAACATGCTAAGATACTTGGCAACATTGCTATCATGGTTATACGATGACCCACGCCCGTACCGTTTACATCCAAAGATAGGGTTGTTTACCAAATCAATGGTAAATCAACAATGTCAAAGGGATAAAAAGGTACAAGAAAGACATTTGAGTAGGTAGATAGCTTCTAAGTTACTTGCTCCATTTCAAAACAATCCTTGCTATTTTCAAACACACACGCATTCTCAAAACATTTCCAAACAACTTACAAAACATTGAAACATTTTTCAAAAGACAAACATCTTTGTATACATTCTTACGAACGAGAATCATTACAAAGATTGCCTAAACGATAGACTCTTTTCAAAATACTTTCAAAACCACACCAAACACAAAGCACCATTTCAAACAATTTCAAAGCAAAGCAAGTGATCTAAGAAAGTAACTAAGATCCCATGGAAAACCATGGATGAAAAGGGTGCTAGCACCTTCCCTTTTCATAATCTACCCCCCGAACTCAAGAAAACATCTCAAAGGTCTTTCCTGTGTTTTTTTACCTTTCCTTTTGGATAAAATAAAAGTCGGTGGCGACTCTTGCTAAACCGCGACATTTGCGACGAAACGCATAACCTCAAGTCAGTTCTCCCACCGTATCACACACTTGGACTTCTCCAGAACTCCTTAGGCCCTTTCATCTCAAGCTAATAACTCCATTAGTTTCCTAGGAACTTGAAGAAGCTAAACCAACCATTGGAACTCCTTGAAAGATGCTCAAACTTCAAACCCGATACCCTCTTGCAAGGTAAGTTTTCTAACTTTGTAACTTCTCATACATGCATCATCAATGATTTATTTGTGAATAAAACATGTAGATATCATTGCCCTAAAGCTAACTATGTCCATAGTTTCCATTAATTTTGCTTGAGCTTAGAGAATTTTAAGATTGAAATTTCTGAGATTTTTAGGGTTCAGTTTAGGGCCAGTAAAATTCATGCTTATCTTTGATCTATAGTTTTAATGCTTTACATTTCTGAAACCGTGAGGAAATTTGCTACAAGTTTCATGTTTACAGTTTTCATTTTTGATGAGAAATGAACAAGTTACAGTTGGTTTGGCTGGAGGTTGAAGATGAAGTAATCAGGGCACATTTTGTATCATATATTTATTGATTTGCTTATGTTAACGGATGTATAGCCATCCCAGTGGTAGAAGCCGCGCCTGTAACCTTTGGAACCTAGATTCGAGCCTCAATGATACCCTTTTGATTTTTCATATTTTTGCATTCTAACTTTGTTTTTTTTGGACATGCGTTGGGCCTCTTTGGACTTGGTTTGTTTTTGTTTTTGCTAGCTAACCCCCCTTTGGACTATTTGTGCCCCTGGCCCAATTTTATTTTATTTTCTTTTTTATTTCATTTTATTTTTTTAAATATTTTTCCTAATATTAAAAAAATCATAAAAAATACAAAAATGATAGATTTATATTTTGACTTAGTTTATTTTATTTTTCTCACAAAAAAATATTTTATTTAACTATAATTTATTTATTTTTACTAATTAGTCTTGTAAATTTAATTTAAAAACTAGATTATTATTTATTTTCTTTTACACCAATTAAAATATATTTATTTTAATGTAAAAAAGGCCAAAAATATTTTATAACACCACATATTATTTTCAAGACAAAAATACCAAAAATACTTTTCTTAAAACTTGATTTATTTTTAATCAATTAATAAATTTAAGGTTTACTTTTTATTATGTTAATTAATTATTTTTCCCTTAATTAATTAGGTTAACACAATTTTCCTTTTCCTAAAAATCCAAACAAATATCCATTTACTTTACATTTCACTTTTTTGTACAATTATTCATTTTGTACATTATATTCATTTAAATTCTTGTACATTTATACCAATTCAATATGGTTGTAATAGACTAATTAGGTTTAAATCCTTGCAATCCCTATTTACAATTTGTATACCCTCCCACAAGTATTGTACTAGCGTAGTAATTTTAAATTCCGCAATTTATCGCTTTATATATAACATGCTAGTAATTAGGTTTTGTATGGAAAGACTAAAACCAATGCTTAGAAAACCATAATTCAAGACAAAATCAAGCATGAAAACAACACTCTTGCACACAAACACTCCTAGGGTAAATCCACTTGGTTGCCTTTACAAAATGACCATATTACGCATGTAAGGTATCTTAGCAAAAACAAGCAAATACAAGATCATAGTCCCTCGATGGTGTTATCTAAATTGTCTTTCAAATGATCTTAGTCCCTAAAAAGAATGTTAAGATACATTGCAACATTGCTAATTATGGTTATACGATGATCCACGCCCGTCCCGTTTACATCCGAAGATAAGGTTGCTTACCAAATCAATGGTAAGACAACAATGTCAAAGGAAAAGAAAATGAACAAGAAAGACTTTTGAGTAGGTAGAATACTCCTAATTACTTGCTTCATTTCAAAACAAACATCCTTGCTATTTAGTAAAAAACAAACACCTACACTTTCAAACATCTTACAAAATTGAAATCATTTTCAAAAGATCAAACATCTTTGTATACATTCTTACAAACAAGAATCATTACAAAAATTGCCTAAACAATGACCTCTTTACAAAATACTTTCAAAAATCACACAAAGAACAATTTCAAACAAAAGCAAGTGATCTAGCAAGTAACTAAGAGCCCATGAAAAACCATGGATGAAAAGGGTGCTAATACCTTCCCTTTTCGTAATCTACCCCCCGAACTCAAGAAATAATCTCAAAGGTTTTTCCTGTGTTTTTTCACCTTTCCTTTTGGATAAAAGAAAAGTCGGTGGCAACTCTTGCTAACCGCAATGCGATCAAACACAAAACAACCAAGTCAGTTCTCCCACCGTGTTACAATAGAGTATTGAAAGAATTTATATAGAGTGTCACCCCTCATCTTACAAGCCGGTTTTGTAAAGATGAGTTAGGCCAAAACTCTAATAGCTTTACAAGTTCTAGTCAATAAAAGTGATCTTGACAAAAAGAAATGGAAGAAAAATAAAGATAATTCGAAAGTTAGAAAAGATGTACTAGAATCATCTAATACAAAGAAATGGAACTTTGCTAACAACAAAGGGAAGAAGAAAGACGTTGATAAAAGAGAAATACTACCATTATGCAAACAAATGATGGCTTTCGGAAATAGAAGAAAAGGAAAATTGGTGAGGAAAAAACAAATATCTCACTAATACAAAAAGAATAATATGATATTAAAATTTATATCGGATATATTAAAAACGGGTGTAAATATGAAATATAGTGTCAATTTATAAATAAAGTGTCATTTTAAATATTAGTATCTGACAATTTACACCTTATTTTTTTAAAAATGAATGTAAAATGAAAATATTATTATTATCTTATCTCAATTACTCCCGTTAAATTTAAATTAAAAAAATAAAATTATTTAATTTGATAATTCAAAACATTAACCTAAACACATTTACAAACCTCAATCCATTTTATTAAATTTTAATTGTCTAATTAAGTGAATGTAAATTTATTAAATTAATATTTTAAATAAAATACAACTAATATATAGCGTTTGTATTCGCCTGTTCCCGCATCCTTATTCTTAGAGGTGAAAATAGACTGAGTCGAGCTACGCTTTGCCAAGTCTAAGTTTGACCTGCCAAAAAAATTGAAGTCTAAGCCTGTTAGCCTACATAAAAACCTATTATATATATATATATATATATATATATATATATATATATATATATATATATATATATATATATATATATATATATATATAAGAAATTTAAATAATATTTAAATAAACTAATAAACTAAAATATCAATGAAACTAAAAGTTTGTTTGCATTGATTTATTTTAACCTACCAATTAACATAGGTTTTGTGAGACTATTTATTTAAGAGAATTTGTGAAAACAACTTATAACATTGTTTATAAAGTATTTTCATTATATTTTCATAAATTTTCAAAGATAATCAAGTTTTATTTATATATTTTGATTCAAATTTTAATTCAAAATACAAAATATAACATAATAATAAAAAAATTATTCATATTTATTTATATAAATCGATATGAGACCTAAAATATTTTTTTTTAAGATCTTATACTTATAAAAAAATCTAGAACTAATTTGAATCTATGTAAGCTAACTTAAATCTACAAAGGTTAAGTTGTAGGTCGATGACACCTCTGTTATGGCGTTATCGGCTTGAGCTATTTCCAGCCGTATTTATGCTTCTCCGATACTCAAAACAAAAACAGAGTATGAAGAACATTGTAGCGCATACCCTAAAATCCACTACCTAAGAGGCGTACTCAAAATCAACACCGGCTTCGAATAAGCCCAATCGCTCTGTCTCTCTTCCAATTGTTCTGCCGCGGTTTCCCTCATCATCATCGACGGCCCGCGCATCAACCTCCGCCCACTTGCTTGTCGAAGGAACCGTGCCGCTCGACGGAGACTCGGCGCACTGAGAATTCTCCACCCGGAGTTTGACTTGTCGGATGAAGTTCCAATTAACAGTGTCGGATCCGCGGTTGTCGTCGCCATGTTTGAATTCTGACGTTCTGGATCGTTGTAGCGTGAGTGAATCAACAACAACTCGGTCCTTTAGTCTTCTCAGAGGTGCGTGGTGAGTTCATTTCTCCGATACTAACCAACAAAGCCTCGTGTTCTTTTTTCTATATTTTGATTTTCGGAATTTCGAAATTGAACGAGATTGAAATTGATTTTAGGTTGAAATGAAAGTTTTATTGACTTGTTAATTTACATTGCAGAGCATTTCTTGAATGGATACTTGTCCGAAAACCCACTTTTATGGTCTTTAATTTCTGAGCTTTGGGATGAAATTCATCGACCCAATTCTTCTTCAAATGCAGGTATAATTTGTTTTTTTTTCCTTCCTAATTGTTTTTTCTTGTTATTAATTGTGTTCCTAACTCATACTCATACTAAGTTTCTAACTATCTTTCTGCAGAAAATTTGTTACTCAAGTGATTACATGATACCTTTCGAGTCTTATTCTTCGGATGTTGAAGTCGGTGCTTCCTGTTACGGGGTTTCTTTCCTCCATTCAAGGATACATTTCACACAGTGATATAGAAATGAGCGTGTCTAAAAAAGTACAATGGTTCTCAGTATGAAATGTTTTTTCGCCACTGTATTTTCTGGCTCGGTTTTTCATCAGCTCTTAATCATCCTTGATCTGAGGGAAATTACTAGACAACCAGCCGTTGCAGTCCCAGTGGAGGTATACACGATATTCAAGTCTAAAACTGCATACCGGATGAACAACTAACTATGATACAATATTCTTTTTCCATGTCTTTTTAATGCAATTTATATTGATTTTACTGTAGGCATCGTTTTTTATTACTTACGTTGCCACTACAGGATGGACAAGCGTTTCATCAGAACTATTTCAGATAATTCCTTCGTAGTTTTATTTTTTGAATTGAGGAATTCAATTTTTCATAATTCATATTTGATGGAATGCCTAAATGTATGTAGAAAATCTATTACAATGATGATGTGTATGAAGTGCTTGGTGATTCAACCAATCAATGCCACATGCTCATCAATTTCTTGCCATAATATATCCATGGCAAAATATTATTGCAGTATCTGCAAATTATTTGAAGATGAAAGGTAATGTATCTTAACTGGTCTTTTTATAAACAAACTCTTGACTTTATTTTAGAGAAGCGTATCTATTGTTTTTTGTTAGTTTCTCTGAATTATTTTGGTGCCCTTTATAGGGTTAATTTGTCAGGGAGATATCAATTTGGATGGAGGAAATCCCAAATTGGATAACTAGAACATTTGTATCTAAGGAAATAATTTCTGATATGAAATCTATGTTATATGTTGGTAATGTTACTTGATATTTTTTTTTTACAAACAGAAAGGAGGTAGCACTTTCCTTGGTTAACTGAAAGAAAGTAGCACTTTCCTATTTTTTGTTAGGTTTTTCTGTAATGTTAAGTAACATAGCATTTTTCGGTTGTATCAGGAGCATTTTTGTTATTAATTGTATATTTAGAGACTATGTGATCAGTTGTGTAGTGTCTGCTGATGCTGACGATGATGACGAGTTTGAGAATGCTCTACTAATATTTACGTTCTATTATGTTAATTAAGCAGTTATTGCTTATGTATCCGCATCCAATTGAGTCTATATTCTAATTTTATCTGCAGCACCTCAAAAGAGTTTGAAGTTTAAAACCTCTACGGATGCTTCCGAAGCGCAAATTATTGACGCTATGAAGAAGATATCTTCTCATATCAAGAACCCTGCCAAATTCAGCAAGGTTGCAAAGCTTGCATTCAGTTGATTCAGGCAGGAAGTGTTAAGTCTGGAGTTAGTGACTATTTTTTCGCGATATTAGAAGATGCAATGTTGTCGCTCGTTCCTTGTACATATCCTTCAGTGCGGGTTGATAATGTTAAAACACACTGTATATTTGAATCGATTTGCACATGTTTTGTTAGTTATTTTACCTTTATTTCCAGTGTTACGTTGGTATTTTGTCTGTATTTCATGTACTTGATCATATGAGAGTCATATGCAAAGAAACGAAGTAAAACGGAGAAAAATGAGCAATTTGCACTCACGGCACACACTATGACGTGCACCATAGAGGTGGCCGTGACATTGTAAGTGATGACCATGTTCAAAAAAGCCAAAGAACAAGTCAAATGGAGAATTGCAAGTGTGGTGTTCGCCATAAGGGGATGGCATTCGCCATCCCTTATAAATGCGCAAAAACGCAAACTTCCTTGTCACGTTCTCCCACTCTTTCCAAACTTCTCTCACACGACCCCAACTACCTTGACTTCATCATTTAGGGTTTTAGAACTCTATAAATACTAGTTTTAGCTCATTTTACAGGCATTCAAGCTTAGCACGATCTTAAACACTATAATTACCGATTAAAGTGATAACTCGTCATATTGGGAGGTTAAAATACTGTTGAGCATTGAGTTTGTATTGAGTTTGGAGGATTTACTTTGTTGAAGTTTAATATTGTTGTCATTTACATTTTCTTTCAAATTTTCCAGCAATTTACTTTGTACTAGATTCAAGTCTTCATTAGAGCAGGTTTTTATTATATCCTCTCTCTACTTATATGCATGTTCTTGTTTTACTTTAATTTTATAATTGTCAATTGCATGTTTCAAGTTTTATTTACTATGCCTATTATGTTAATTTCATGTTAAATTCAAACCTTTTTATCGTTTGTTAAAACTATGTTTGGCTAAATCTGTAGTGTTGGAACGTGAGGACTGTCGATTCGACAATACTCTAATTGTTGTTCTTTTAATACTTATGGGGCTGTTTTGATTTTATTACAATTTTTCTAAATTTCATTTGATCGGTTATTACGAAAGTAGAATTGTAATTACACAAGGTAAGATCGAAAGCCGTCTGTCACTAAAGATTCAAGTTGTTGAGTTTTTGGTTAATAAACACCGCGAAATCAATTTATTAATTACTTAGGAAAGTTTGATATTTTCAAAACGTGATTTTAAAACTATTTTTGGACGCGTTTATAAGTTTAAGATCTGGTTGATCGTGCGAAAGCCGAAAACTCTTTAAAGTCTAATTTTTCAATCAAAACTAATTTTTGTTTGAGCAAAAGAAACTAATTTCTAAAAAAGGTTTTACTTCTTTAAAGCAAAGTGCGTCGGACACGCGAGAGCGAACAATATAAATTAGAGAGTAAAATCTGGTTTCGATTATGCGACAGTGACAATTTCTTTTTAATTAATTCTTTTTCAAATGAGAAAATACAATACTATAGGTAGTTCAATTTATGAACAATAAGAGTGTCAACGAATTGATGAAATCCACATTTCAACATTGTATTTTTAACTTACTTTAAATTTATTATTTTTATTTTCCACTCCACGTTTAATTTTTGATCGTCTTAAATAAACACCGTAGCAATAGAAAACGTTAGATTGATCACTTGGTCTCTGCGAGTTAGACACTTTTATGCTACATCTGATAGACTCGATGTACTTGCGAAAATACCCCATCATGGGTGAATTATCATTCTTTGTTCTCGGAAGCGCAAGATGTGAAAGAAGTAAGATTAACATTTGTTCAAATTATTTGTAGTTTTTGCAATTTGTTTTTCTTCATATTTTGAAGAGTGTAGTAAAAAATTTGTTGACCCTCTTTTGTCAGTTATTTGTAGCATTTCAATAAGAAACAGAAGAATTAATTGGCGATATGGATAATTAATGTTGTGGTAGCAAATGATTTATATACAGATGATAGCTTTGTGGTATGGTTCTCGCTTAATTAAATGTTTTAGGGAAGATGAAGTTTGGCCTAGTTGCAAGGTGAAACATTCTTCTTTTGAGTGGTGATTAAATTTTTACAATTAGATTAATAAAGAAAAGCTAAATAATTAGGTTGATGAATTCTCTGTTTGGAACTCTGCTAGTGAATGCTTGACTTCATTTATTTTGGACAGATATTTTATTGTTGTGAAAACGTTGTTCCAGATTCTTTTCAGTTGTGATGTGTTTATCTTTTCCTTAGTCACTAGATTTAGATTTGGAATATTATTTTCTATTTTGACATGATTTACGTTAGACATTTGGGTCCATAAGGATTGTATTCGATTCTCATTATTTTGTTTTCAGATACTTATACAGTTCTCAAAAGAAGCTACACAAATGAAGGAAGTTATATCTAACCTTCCTGTTGCGATAGAGAAGGATGACACAGAAGAAACAACGTCTCTGAAAGATATTGCAGTTATGGTAGATGAAGGTGGTCAAAAGCTGACCCATTTGGATTTGATGCTCTGATTCCTCAATTTACGAAGAAAAGTGCAAAGAATGACGGAGCTATCAATATAAGAAACGAAGACAAGGAAGAAACTAAGCAAAATCTTTAAGTTACAATGAAACGCTCCGGTAACTTGTCTAGAGATTGCTGCTCAGCCGTATAAAACACCTTGGTAAAATAGTACTACAAAACAACATTATAGTGAAACTGAAAGCTGAAGCTAATTAATTTCTCTCAAACCATGGCTTTGTATTCTGCATTTTGTTGAATATTATGACTTATTTGTACAAAAATGATAAATATGAAGAAATAATATGATTTCCTAGTATATAAAATATTTTGTTGAATAATATGACTTCTTAGTATATGAAATATTTTGTTGAATATTATGACTTCTTAGTACATGAAATATTTTGTTGAATATTATGACTTCTTAGTATATGAAATATGAAGAAATGTGATAACTAAAATAGAGTGTAATGTGTAACATTCTTATAGTCTCACGTAATTAACAAATAAATTGATTATAATTATATAACACCAGAGTGTCACATTTCATAAAAACATACACGCATATCCTGCTCTGTAACACGAGTTACAATAAAATATTTCTTTTAAAACATAGACATTCATGATGTTTACACGATATCAATACTCCTCTAAAAATACTGCAGCGGAATCATCACCAAAAAATTTAAACGTAAAAACAACTCATACTTTGAATCTTAAACTCTAATTTTGAGTATCTGCACGTTATCCACGTGGAAGCGACATTTAAATAAAATAGGTGAGTAATCATAATCAATTATAAACAACATAAGAAAAGATAGATTGCATCAATTATTTACAATCATTCAATAACTTCAACAAATCATAAACTCACATCCAAATATAGTAAAAAATTCTTGTACAACATATCGGCACAAGACTCACACATATTCACATAAACATTCCTAAGTATCACAACATCACGTAGCACCAACATAATTATGCAATGCTACATAGAATTCTAATGCAACATCACCAACTCAATGCGTGTGGTACCAATTATAAACATGTAGGTTCATTTCGCTCCCTGTTCCATCACCATAGGATACAAGATCCACCACCTGATTCACTCTTGAACCGAAGCACGACAAACCGCTACCATCACCATAAATAACGCGCTTCACTAATTCCCGACATGAAATTA